GCCCTGCCAACTGGAGTTGGTAGTCGGGAGGCAAATCATCATGGCGATGTCTTCCCTTGCTGAGCTGGTGTACATAAGGACGATGAGAAGCAGTGGATGAAGTTCTCTTCTTTTCTCACCACCACCAGTCTTCTTTCGCTTCTTATCGGTTGCTCTACAATTTCCTCTCGCTCGAGGTTTTAACATTCTTTTTCGGCTTCTCCTTTTCGACATTTAACTTACAACCCAAATTACCATGGTTGCCATTACCCGCGTCGCCGTGGCGGCCTCTCTCCTCCTGACCGGTGCTGTTGCTCACCCGGGTGAGGAGCATGACCCTCAGGTCCACAAGCGTGAGATGGCTCTTCGCCGCTCCGTTGCCGCCAACAACCGCCGGGCTCTCAACGCCTGTGCCGGCTCTGCCGCCGATGTCGCCCTCAAGCAGCGCGCCATCCAGCGTCGTGATGCCAAGCTCAAGGAGCTTCGCGCCAAGCGATCTATTGCTGCCAATGGTAAGTCTCAACAGTTCTTTCGCAGATCCAAAATCAAAGTTCGTGAATACTAACAACTCGACTTCCAGCCCCCATCCGTCGCCGCACTGAGGAGAATCTGAACACCTGGGCGGCCATTGACCACGCCTCATCGGAGGGATACACTCTCGATACCGACCCGGCTACCCTCTTCGCTCAGAACGCTAGCTGTGTCGTTGTTCCCGAGACCACTATTGGTCCCTACTGGGTTGCTGGTGAGCTCATCCGCAGCGAGATGACCGATGGCCAGTCTGGTGTGCCTCTGCATCTCGATGTCCAATTTGTCGATGTCGCTACCTGTGCTGGAGTGCCCGAGATCCTGATCGACGCTTGGCACTGCAACGCTACCGGCGTCTACTCCGGTGTTTCCGCCACCGGCCAGGGTGGTCTCAACTCCACCTTCGGTCGCGGTGTTCAGCAGACCGATGATGATGGCGTTGTTGAGTTCGATACTATGTTCCCGGGTCACTACACCGGCCGTGCTACTCACATTCACGTCAAGAGCACCTCCGGCGCTACCGTCCTCGACAATGACACTTATGTCGATGGTACCACCAACCATGTCGGCCAGCTCTTCTTCGATCAGTCCCTCATTTCCGAAGTTGAGGCCGTCACCCCTTACAGCACCAACCAGCAGGAGTTGACTCTGAACTCTGCCGATAGCATTGCTTTCGGCGAGGCCACCGATGACTACGACCCGTTCGTCCAGTATGTTCTCCTCGGTGACGACATTTCTCAAGGTGTCCTGGCCTGGATCACCGTTGGTATCAACACCACTGCCGACTACTCCAGCTCTGCCAGCGCTGCCGCTCACTACTATGCCGGCGGCGGTGTCGACACCTCCTCTGGAAACTCTGGCGGTGGCCCCGGAGGAGCTGGCGGCCCTCCCAACGGCACCTTCCCCAGCGGCGCTGCTCCTAGCGGTGCTGGTCCCAGTGGTGCTCCTCCTGCCAGCTCTGTCTCTTCTGCTGCTGTCTCTGCCACTCCCTCTACTTCCGGAGGCTCCAAGGCTGGCTGCAAGCGCAAGGCCAAGCGTCAGTAAGCATCTCTAAATGCATGGACGCAACATAGCTTGTATTCTTCTGTTCTTGTACTGGGGCGCCATGATACCCATTGTGAGATCTTCAGAGACTGGTGCTGGGTCTGGCATATGGCGAGTTTCACCTTCTTTTCGAAAGACTCTTTTGAACAATTGTATTTGTATGGAAAGAAAATAAAATCGATTTGACCAGAGTTTCCCTGATTCTTCTTTGCAATTTTCGTGACTGCAAGAGTATCATGATTTTCCCCTTGTACCATCTATCTCACTTTGCCGATGTGGTCAGAGAATGAGGAACGACCAAGAAAAACCAACGCTCGCTCGCGGGATGTTGGTTATGCACCCGCCGATCAAGTTGCAGTCCCCGTCGTTTCTGGCCCCATCCTGATGCATAAAGCGTTGATTAAAATTGCCTGTCCAATAAGCGCCAGTTGATCACACTGTTGGATTCGTTTCTGCCATTACATAATAATCGGGCTCTTTCAATCACCCAAAGCCGAGTTGAATCCGATTGAGGGGATTTCGATGTTTCTAACCAAGTTGCAGACAACGAATGCGACACTTTAGCCAAAGTCGCTTGTTCTGACCCAGGTACTATGCTTACCGCAACTGCGTATACTGAGCTGACACTGCCACCTCTTCCCAGGAATCTCCTCCAATATGCAAAACGACGAGCTCACGGCACCATCTCAAACACCAGATGTCGCCTTGAAAACAAAGGATAATGGCTACTCCAAACCGACGTCTTCAGACGGTCGTATAAATAAGTCCGAAACAGACTTACCGGCACCGTTGGTACTCGCTTTAGGTCAAGTGGTGTCAAAGTTGTGCTCGGTCTGCCGCGAATTTCCCAAGGGAAGAATCGCCATAAAATTCAACGACGAAGAACTACACACAGACTTGCGCCCATACCATCATTCCGTATCGTCTTTGCGAAGGTCTGTAAGCGCCGGGTGCTATCTCTGTGAAAGTCTTCTGCAGAGTTTCGATGAATTCGTCGATGGATCCGAAATGGCGACTGGTGTGAGCGATACTTGTTCTATCCAATGCACCATGAAGATTGCAGACGATATCAAATTGACTGGCCACGAAATTTCGCTTTCGTTCTATCTATTTGACAGCGAAGGGCACAAGGTGACAAGCGCTCGATGTGGCCCACCGTATGCAAGTCCAGACTTGCTTGCATCTATGACTTTCAACTCCATCACCAACTGGAAATCGAGTCTTGGGCCGGAGTTCTTCCAAGGTAAGCTCTAAAATTCTGCGAATTAGTACGATCAAAGCTGAACAGTGCCAGAACCTTCCCCCAAGACAACGAGTGCAAGATCTGCAATGAGTATGGAACTTGCGCGTAGCTGGTATGAACAGTGTTCGAGAGATCACACTACTTGTCGGACTTGGAAGCTGGATACACGCATTCTGCCGACCCGTCTGCTTCATGTCTCGAGACCACACGGTTCACATGCCGTTTCGGCCAAGCTCTGCCTGACAAAGAAGTTACCAATATCTACTCCTTATGTGACTCTGAGTCATTGCTGGGGAAACGGCAACTTTCTGAAAATGACAAGCGTTAACTACGAAGCATTTCAAAAAGAGGTGCCCGTTCACGAGCTACCGAAAACATTCAAAGACGCAATGGACGTCACTTTCGAGCTCGGTATCCGACATATCTGGATAGATTCTCTTTGCATCATTCAAGATTCGAAGGAGGACTGGACAAATGAATCCAAGATGATGGGGGACGTTTACCGATACGCGGCATGCAATATCGCAGCAACCGGCTACCAGCATGGCGAAACGGGGCTGTTCGGGGAGCGACCCCTATTGCCATTTGCGAATCGTCTATGGCATGTCGATTGCCTTCTAGTTGACGATACGAGACCCGACTGGAAGTTGAAGGAGCTCCGGTTTAATGGGTTTTACATGGATATTGATCTCATCGACTACCAAAAACATATCACTTTCAACGACCTCAATTCCCGAGCGTGGGTCGCCCAAGAACGAGCTCTATCACCCAGCATCCTTCATCACACACCAGGAAAGATCTGGTGGGAATGTAATCAGCTCATAGCCAACGAAACGTTTCCGTTAGGTGATTGCGCTGAGTGGTATCAAGGTCTTGATCCTCCAGAGGGCAACATACGGTCGTTGAAGAAAGATGACGAGGAATCTGTGTACTCGTTCTGGAGAGACTTTACGAACCACTACGCCGGCACTTACATCACCTTCGAAAAAGACCGCTTGGCCGCTGCGGCCGGTTTAGCGCATACTGTGGGCGAGCTGCTAGACGATAACTTCGTTGCGGGTTTCTGGGAGAAAGATCTTATAAACTCGTTGCTGTGGACCCCCAGACGACACGCTCTCCGCCAGATAAGAGGCTTTCCAACAACGCAACTAGTCCCGTCTTGGTCGTGGGCTTCTTTATGCGGGGAACTCGAGACATGGATTTACAGCTTGAAGCCCGAATTCAACACCACAGACACTAAGCTGAGTTGCATCTCCCTCAGAGTACTTTATGACACTGTTGGCTTCAAATCCGACCTCCAGTTGGATTCGCTTGAAAGGTCCGCTGTACGGGGTCTTGCCATCCGTGGGCCATTGAGAAAAGTCAGCACAGATATGCTTGCCAGCACTGGCTTCTGGAGAACCTACAAATCGAAAGCAGTCAGCAGCTTTTCCTCATGGCAGGACAAGAAGTCCCTGAGTCCCGAGCTGGGAGAACATTGCGCATGATCAGGCATGGCGGTTGAATGATTCCACTCATCTGCTACCCTTGAAGAGAACATGGAATCACAAGGGGATAGTTGGTCTCTTGCTACAATTAGTCCCTGGGACAGGAGACCAAGCCACATTTCGTCGCTCAGGATGCTTTCACATCTCATTCCGAACGGCTGATGAACGCAACATACATGAATGCCTCGGTCTTCTGGAGCGGGATGGAGTGTATCAGCCTGGATATATGTTCGAAGAGCGCGGGCTTCAAGACATTGTTCTGATTTGAAAAATGCATTTGTGCATGCTATCGTGGTCCCGTTCTTCCTGCAGGGGGCGCCTATTACCGTTGGAATATCTATACAAATCCAGAGCAATTCCGTCCGCAGTTCAACCTCGAAATCTAACAGTCTCACTTCCGCGTAACCTAGTCTCTCAAGCGTAGACAAGCCACTAAGCCCTCACTGATTCCCAGGGACCCGATAACCACATACCTGCCCTCCTGTTCTATCTGAAGATCGAACCAAGAATTATTACTTTGCAATAGATTTATCAGTTGCAATCGATCTAACTACTAGTAATACTTAGCTCTAAGCTTTGATGTAGTAAAGGTTTCCTATATATAAACCTACTCAAGCTACAGATATTAACTGCTAAGAGAGTATAGATTAATAAGCATTCACGAAATAGCGACTTGTGAAGATGACGCTTAGTTATCTAGAAACTCTAGTTAGAAGTACCTAGTCGTCGTACAGTCTAAGACCGTTCTCCTCCCGCGCCCGCCGCCTCATCTCCTCGCTTGAGCATATCAACAACTCCCAACTAGCCGCATTAGCCTGACCCGTGGTCGAATAAACGTCCTCGTCGGGATTAGAGTCCATCAGCGCAAAATCATGGGCATAGATCCCGGAGTCGAGCCACGTCGTCGTCGGCTCCTTATTGCGGACCGCCGCGTCCTCACATTCGGAGTTTGTTCGCAAGTCCACAATATCGCACTTCAGTTCCTTGGCATGTTGCTCCAGGTAGTCGACATAGTAGTTTCTGTTGGGGCTGTTTGGCCAGCTGCGAGTCTGTGCCTGCCGCGCCTGGTCCCAGAGCTCCGAGCACGGGGGCGGCGCGAGATCCTCCCAGAGAGCCCTGTAGTCGCCAGCGATGCATGCCATGGCCACTTGCAACTTCATATCAGGCCGGCGGTGGACGAGCTCCTTCAGCGTCTCTTCCTCTGGAATCAGGGGCCACCAGATCATCGCGGGCACTTGGTGTTTGCTGGGGCTGGAGGGTGTGATGTGTGACAGGTCGTTGACCATGATGAAGCGCGCCAGGGCAGCAGTCCTGATGGAGCGGTTGCTTGGGTCAATTTCCTGCAGATACCACCACTTGGCAAAGGTGGTGTTGTGGTAGATGCCGCGAAGGACGGCCGCGTGTTCGTCGTGGAGCATTTCCGGCCGGCGGAGGCGGACATATCGTTCAATATTCCCCTCATAAGCCGCCATGAGGATCAAAGCATCCTTGTTGGTGGTCGGCAGGTGCGAGAGGAGGGGCGTGTAGAACAACGCAATGTGCTCAGGGGCGAGTTCCTCCTTGTTGGTCTTTTCCGATGAGGTTTCGTCGATGTTGTAGTCTTCGGCGATGTTGAAGTAGTGCTTACCCCAATCCTGGTACTTGTCTAGCCCGAGTCGGACGTCCAACGAGGACCGCACAGCTGTGTCACCATTCATAAACGCGGGCGAGGTCGGCCTGTCGGGGTGGGAAGACCGGGAGTAGTCGTCGAGAATTTTGTAGCACACAGGCTGGTGCATTATCGCGTCGAATATGGCTTTAGATCCTTCGTTTGAGAAATTGTCTCTGGCCTCTTCCGCGATAGAGATTTCAGGCAGGAGACCGAGTTCGTCGTAGAGGCCGGCATAGCCAGCTACGGCACAGGCCCGGCCGACCACATACCGCATGTCGGGGTAACGCTTTGCCAGTTGGCGGTACGTTTCTTCGCTAGCCACGTCTGGATACCAAATGCAATACGGCTTGTCATCGTCGGATGACATGTTCGGGATGGTGTTGCTCATAATAAGCCGAGCGTTGCGGGCGCGAGAAAAGGCTCTATTGTGCGATTCTGAGCAGAGCCTCTCGACTTCCGACGTTGCAAAAGCTTCATTGTGCCGAATACCATGTATCACGCACGCCGAGACCCAGTGGCTTAGATCAGTCGGCAGCCGGTGGCCACGGACTGCGTCTCGATGGTCGTCGCCCGGCGGCGGCCGTACTATGAACGCATCGTCCATCCTTTCAAATGAAATTAGGTATCTCAGTCGGAGGCACTAGTAGCATGGAATGAAGATGAAGAGGAGGAATATGGTCCAGTCGAGGACTCGGCGGATGGACAAGTCCCTTTTAGTGTCCGCGCATGTGTTGGAGCCACTGGAGAGAGTGTGAGGACCTGACTATTTGTTTGTATCTGCGGGGCACCCTAGAAATTCGGGCAGGTGTGTCAAACAACCCTAGTCACTTCCGATCAACCCCGGCATTGTGCCAACGATCTTTTAGGTCCAAATCATATGGACTACGTACGCTTATCAAAGTCGCGTTCTCTATGAATCTGAGATTCTACAGCCTGTGATCCAACAGTTTCACTTCCGGGTAACCTAATCTTTCAAGCGTAGACGAGCAACTAAGCCTTCATTGATTCCCATGCCACCGATAACCACATACCTGCCCTCCTGTTCCATCTGAAGATCGAACATGCGGATAAACTACACCCAAGACTTGTTAGTATGAGATCTTCGATATAGCAAGGACAGAGACACACTGAAAACTTACCTCCGGAATTAACTTGTAAATTTCCATCATGGCAATGTCCTTCCCCATGCATACCCGTGGACCCATCCCAAACCCAAAGTTAGCAGCTTCCATCTCAGCAAGGACTTCTTTTGTATTTCCACCTGTCTCTCCCTCTAACCATCTCTCAGGCCTGTAAACTTCCGGATCTGGTGCATAGAGCACAGGATCTCGATGGACGACATAGGAGAGGCTCGTCATTTCACTGCCTCCAGGAATCCATTTGCCATCTACGGCAATCCCTCCTGCAGGAGCGACTCTTCCAAAGAGCTGCGCTGCGGAAGGATTCAGTCTAATTGATTCCTTGACGCATGCAACGAAAAAGGGGAGATTCTCCCGCGTTTCTTCATGCTGAATTGGCGTGCTGAGACGACCAGCGCTCTCAGCTGCGGCCAGCTCTGCTCGAACGCGGGCAAGTACCGCCGGATTCTTCATGATAAAGCGCATAGTGCAGCCGAGAGTGGTGGCAGTTGTATCGGCGCCTGCTATGATGAGGAGCGTGGCATGGGCGCGCTTTTGATCGAGTGTCAAGGGCTGTCCATCAATGCGGGCTTCAAGGCAGCTGTCAGACGTGTTGGTGGTTAGCGCGGCGAGCTTCCAACATTGCGGGAGTCTACGATGTCTTACAACTGCATTAAATCGGGATACTCTTGCGAAAACCCCTCTTCGTCAATACGACGCTCTCTTTCGGCGACTTGTCTATTCGCCTCTCCCATGATGTATCCCACGCCGAACTTGTCCTCGGGACTGGGTTGAAGATATGGCCCCCACCAAGCCCTGGTGACTCTGTCGCGCAACCAGCGGAAACGTGTCAGGAAGGAGAGCGCGATCTGGCCGTTGCGCCAGGTGCGAAGAATTTGACGCTGGTCGGCCTTGTTGGAGACGAATCCCCAAGGCTCGGAAAAGCAGATCATTGTCATGATGTCGGCGGCAAACTCGCTTTTCTCAGGATGTGAGCGTTGGATTTGGTTGGTGATTTTTGCTTCGTTAGTGAATAACTTACACCATTCTATCACACAGAACAACAGGTTCATTCTTCTCTGCGACCTCGGTCATTTGTTGGAGGAATTGCTGGATTTGCGAATCGAAGCGAGATTCCCAATTACGTTTCATAGCCCCGATGGACCACTGGAGTTCTGTCAGCGACATCACAATGTGAGGCGATGGGCGGGCCATGTACATGAGGGCCACCAAGCGCTTTTCGAAGAATCTTGTGATCGTTGCTGTCGAGTGTGGCAAAGAGATGCGGTGGGCCAAGGACACCTGTGCCGTAGAATTCACTTTTCGTGTCGCATTTTGGGTTGCAGTAAATGTCTTTGAGAGCAGCTGGTTGAGGGAAGAGGAGGACATTTGGTGCGATGCGGATGGGTTTATCGGCTTCATCCATCAGCAAATTTGTTCAGAGACTCCATACCAGAAGACAGGACTGGTTAACTTACTTCCGTAGTGTTTTGCCAACGAGAGCATCCATTGGGGTTCCTTCTTGAGTACTGATATGATTGCGTGGGATATGGAGAAGGAAGCGGCGTACCATGGACCCTGGAATCTGGAGAGTGGGTGGAAGTACAGATTGTAAATGATACGTAGCAGGAGGGCTGAGAATATCGAGGCTGCTATGAGAGGCCCTAGGGACAGCGTCGAAACACCCACCAGCGTGACTTTTGGAAACGCGTCTGCCATTGAGTAATACCAGAAGTTCAACTGCCACTTCTCACGAGGAATGCTGTTTCTTTCTGTGTTGAGAGGAGAAGACGAGGCAGGAAGATGAAATGAGGGATAGCATCAGTGAGAGCGGGGTCGTGCGAGGCCAACAGGTATGGACTAAATAGGCAAAAGTCCTCTATGCCAACAGGAGGCCCTGAGGTGGTTGCAGCCTACCAAGCTGCAAGTGAAACATATCGGTCGCACAACATATGTGATAGTGCGTACGCATCAGTCGAGGAGCAGAAGCACATGAGAAACCGCTGATGTAATTGGCAGGGAGAGAGTAGCCATCCAACAGGGAGGCCCCAATTCGGACCATTTTGGTAAATTTCAAAGCCATTTCTCGGCATCACAGTTGTGGCTTGTTCAGCCTTCTGGGTGCTCAATGGCAAGGGGGAAAACAATGGCAGTTGTCGCATGAGAAAGCAGCGAATCCCAGGCCGAGCTTTAGTAAGAGGTGGTTGCGAGGTACTTACCAGCGACCTGCAGCTGAAGGCAGATATGTACCCTTTTCCAAACTAGGTAAAAGGTTGGGACCAATCAATCCCCCCGCGGTTGTGATTGCATACAACCTTGTTTCCACGTACATGGTGTAGAGGATACATCCAATCACGAGCAATGGCTTAACCATTGTTCAACGACCTTAGCTCGAATGAATAGGAACATAGGTTCCGACGGTAAGAGCTCTTTTCTCTGGACAATCTATCCGATGCTCGGCAGAAAAGTTTCGACTCTCGTAATAAACAAATCCTCGGAGCATAATTGATCGACATGACGTGTGTTGCGGGAAGTGAGATCTTAGTGCCGATGCTAGTACATTAGCCTAGCTCGGAAACATTTCGTCGACTTTTGACCTCACGATAAAAGTCCGTGGTGCGTGGGTTCGACATCCTAATGTCATCTTTGTACTACATCAATTTCTCTTGAAACAAACGGGATCATCTCCGGACCACTCTTGAGTTTGACTTGATCCTCACTTACACTGATTTCGACGGCCAAACAACAGCCTCCTTATTCACCATGGATACTATCCCCTCCAAAACGATCCAGATCTCGCCTGAAATCAAGTATCGATACTACATTTCCAAACCAACACAGCGAAAATTCCCGACCATTCTCTTTCTCCATGGCTTTCCCTCGAGTGCCGTCGACTTTGTCCCGCAAATCACTCACCTGATGTCCCGCGGCTACGGTGTTCTTGCGCCAGACCTCCTTGGCTACGGCGGAACATCCAAGCCAGATGACCCCAAAGAATACGTCTGGCGGGCAATGAGCGCCCACATCGCCGCCATTCTCGATGCGGAGGACCTTACCGCCGTTGTTGGCGTCGGGCACGACCTGGGATCTTGGTTTCTGAGCAGATTATACCACTTTTACCCCTCGAGGTTCACAGGCCTGGTTTTCATGGACGTTGGGTACGCGCCCCCGGGGCAGAAGTTCGACGTGGAACTCATCAATCGGATGACCAAGGAGATGACGGGCGAGGAACGCTTCCGGTACTGGGACCTTTTCACTGATGACGAGGGTGTGCCTTTGATGAATCAAAACGTTAAGAGCGTTGTGTCGCTTATGCATGCTTCGCCGGACGTCATGGTTGCGAATCTCGGGCCCAAGGATAAGGCGAGGGAGTGGGTTGCCGCCGGGCGCATCGCGCAGAGTCATTTCTTTGGGGATGAGAAGAGTGCTTACTTCAAGGACAAGGTGGCCATGTTTAAGGAGGGCGGATGGACGGGCCCGACGAATTGGTACAAGGCTTTGAGGGAGAACATGTCTTGGGATGATGAGGAGGATATGGAGAAGAAGCTGGAGGTGCCGGTGATGGTCGTGGGATGTGGACGAGACAAAATGACAGCCGCTGAAATGCAGGACCAGATGACAAGAGGATTTTCCGTATCTGGGTACAGGTTTGAGGTGCTTGATGCAGGACATTGGGTTATGCTTGAGGACCCGGAGGGTACAAACAGACTTCTGGAAGAGTTCATTGCAACTTTGTGAAGAAGTGTGGCGCACTGCAAAAACATGCAGCCATACTTGCGTCGAGATGACATATACAGAGAATTAAAATTTAGCGGAAGCCAAGGCGAGCCCAAAGTTATCGGGAACAAGAGGAGGAAGAAGGATGGTGATGAGAGCAGGGAAGTCGAAGTCAACATGCACAAAGTCCCCCCACCTGCACAAGTCCCCCACCATCCGCACAACTTCCCTTGCACAACTCCACCTAACCAACCAACCTCCGATCCCGACCGACCAACCGACCATCCATTTCGTCACCACGCTCGCCCATCCAAGGGTCCATCAGCTCGCGTGCGACCCTTGACGCATCCATTTCTCTTCCGCACCTCACCTCCCAACTCCCCTCCCTCCAGTCTTTTCCTAGTTACGTCCTATTCCCATTCAAATGACACAATCTGCCTTCTCAATATCTGAACCTACGTAAACCAACACGGCCGGAGCCCGAAAAATAGCATGAGGACATGCTCCTCCGCCGGCTCAATCCCGCAGCGGCCCGTCCCCTCCGCTCCGCCGGCGCGATCACACCTGAACACCAGCACCGAGCACAACCACACCTCCGAGCGTGCGCCACCCGCGCCTTCACGACGTCGCGCAGCTTGCGAAATGACGCCGCCGCCGTGAACCACTACGAGACACTCAAAGTCGCCCACGATGCCTCGCCCGCCGAGATCAAAAAGTAGAGCTCCCCCGGCCACGATCCCACCACAGCTTCCTAGCTCCCAAGCTCCCCGTGTCCTCCTCGCCCTCTGACCTGCCACCCTTTCAATCGCAATCGAACCTCCTATAAAGCTAACTAACAAACAACACTACAGATCCTTTTACGCCCTCTCCAAAACCCACCACCCAGACCACAACCCAAACGACCCCTCCGCAACCCGCAAATTCCACGCAATAGCAGAAGCCTACTCCGTCCTCGGCACCCCCGCCAAGCGCTCCGCCTACGACCGCTCCCTCCCCTCCTCCCACCACCACCACGGCGCCCGCCGCGGCTCCTACCACAGCAGCAGCACCGGCCCCGCCGGCGGGCGCCCGGCTTCAGGTCTCTCCCGCCGCCGCACCACCTTCCGCGGCCCGCCGCCGAGCTTCTACCGCTCGGGCGGCTGGGGCGAGCACTCGGCCAAGCGCCGCGCCGCGCACGAGAGCAATACGGCCTCGGACGCGACGGGCGCCGAGCCCGAGAGGCCCGGCATGGGTTTCGGACAGGACCCCTACGCGCACAAGCGCAGCGCGGACGTGCGGCACTTTGACAGCCGGGGACATACGCAGACGCAGGCGAGGCAGGATTCGAGGCGGGCGCATAGGATCATGGGGCAGGAGGTTACTGTAGGACACCAGGAGACGTCCGTCGGTGCCTTCTTGAGCGTGGCGGGGATGATGTTTTTTGCGTTTCTTGTCCCGTACATGATATTTGTTGGGCCGCGGAAGAAGGACAAGAAGGCATAGATGGGGAAGAGGGAAGGTGATAGACACACAAGAGTCCCTGATAGACACGAATCTCACGAATTGGAAACATTTTCACATGCACACTTGGAGAACATGCTGGGTCCCCGGTCGATCAAACTCTATTACTCCCCAGTTGATATACACTAGACAGGAGCCTCCCGAATAAGAAATGCGGCCGAGAATTGGACTCAAAATTTTTCCTCAAGAATACACGTTTTATAGCGTACAGAGCTTAGCCCTCGAAGGTGAAGCTGGCGCCGAGCTTGTGGGTAGCCTGGTCGAGCTTCTGGGTATCAAAGGAGGCACCAAGACCCAGGGTAACACCCTCGCGGAGGAGGACGTTGTAGGCAAGGGCGGCAACACCGTTGTTGTTGACCTTGAACTGTACGCGGAACTTTGTCAGAGACTGGTACCCACATCGGCGCGGGGGTGGGGGGGCAACGAACCTTGGCGAAAGAGACGGGGTCGATGCGGTACTTGGAGGCAACCTCGAGGCCGACGTTGTTGCCGGCCTTGGAGTTCCAGGTAGCCTTGGCACCAGCCTCAACCTGGCTGTTGACCTTGTGGTAGTAAGAAGCGGCGAAAACGCTCAGGTTGTCGCTGGCAGTGATGGCAGCGGAGTAAGAGGGGGCCTGGTAGCCGACGGCAGCGGCGTAGCCGGTGACGGTGGCCTTGTTGACGTCGTAGCCGGCAGAGGCACCAGCCAGGAAGCCCTCGTGGCCGACGACAGCGTCGATGTTGGCCTTGGGGCCCTTCAGGAGGTCGAAGAAGGCACGGGAGTGGAAGTTGGACTGCTTGAAGGTAAGGTTGAACTTGGCACCCTTGTTGGCGGGCTTCTCGGCGGCGGCAGAGGGGAGGAAGGAGAAGACACCCTCAGCCTTCAGGCCCTTGGCGAGGCTGTCAGCGAGCTCGACCTTGGTGTCGAGGGCGGCGGCGGTGTTCCATGTCTGGGTAAGGGTGAGGCCTGCGCGACGGTAGAACATTAGTAAATTTGCAAAACCAGGTTGAAAGCCCGCGCTGATAGAAACTGGGCTGCCGTGTAACGGCCCGTATATCGGACCGAAGGACACGTTAAAGCGCTCTAAACGACGGTGGGTGGTTGCTGTACCGGTAGCCTTGTCGGAGTATTTGCCCTCGATCTTGATGGTGGGAGGTCTGGTTAGCGGGGCCCATTGGATGCGTTGGCGAGGGGGCAAAAGCGCGACTTACAGCTCCGTTGGTGCTCTTCTCGTGGGAGGTCTTGCCGGTGACCTTGAAGGCAACGTTGTTGGGGGTGTTGCTCTTGAGCTCGAAGGTGGTGGCAGAGAGGTGGTAGAAGTCCTTGTTCAGGAGCTATGGGAGGCCAATGTTAGCTGAGTGGTTTCTTTGTCGCGAGCGACCTCGGCCAAGCACAGAGTCCAGAAAGCTTTCTGTGTGTTTTTACCCGCCGGACGCCCGCGAATACCCGATCAACGGGGGAGAGGAAAAGGAAAGGGAAGGGCGCATACGTCGTTGGACGACTTGGCGATATCTCCGAAGTTAGGAACAGACATGGTGGCTGATTTCTGAGAAGAGGACTTTTCTTGGGGAAAAAAATTGAGTTGACGATGGGAAGCGCAAAAGGTGACAAAGATGCGACGAGTGAAAAGGCGGGTTGCAGGTGTCCTTTCAGGAGATGTGCTGCTGCTGGGGGCGGAGCTGTTCGAGAAAATGTTTTGGTTGCATCAATTGGTTGACGGGGATTCCCGGCTCAATTCGGTCCGGAGGAGCTTCGTGGTTATGGAGAGGCGCTATGCCCAATCAGGAGACACGTGGGGGATGTGTTATTGGTTTGTTGGGATTGCAAGGCCAGCCGCGGGGGTTCGTAGCAGCGAGGAGTGGATGTTGCTGGCGGGGGTGTCAAGATGCTTAATGCGACCGGCTGTGATGCTTGGCTGGCTGCGATGTTTGTGTGAGGTAATTGGGAGGGAGGGCGAATTGTGAAATATCTCAGTTTCTAGGAGAAGAGGCTGCGTTTTTGGGCTGGAATCTGTTTGTGAAGGCAATATTCTCACTTGCCCTTTCCAAAACAAACGGAATGCTCACCCAGGCAGAAGAGGCTGACAGCACTTCTTCCCCCCCCCCCATGACTTACATCCGTATTTCCTTGTGCTGCGCGTACCTCGCCTGCCTGCTGCTCTTGGGTTTCCTCTGGTCTCACCGCAATCTGGAAGGACTTGCTGAGTCACTCAGGTACGGATCGCCCAAGGCCAATCATCCGCGCCTGATTGAGGGTCTCATGCCGGGTGATCGATCAATCACTGTTGCACACGAAGCAGCGTGGCAGCCCGACCAAAGTGGTTCCTGACGCGGGACATCGAGTTGGGGAACCTTCTAGGATGCCTCGATTACGACCCCAGAAAATCGACCCGTGACGGGCAAGGTCCTTCAGCGCAGACCCCTCAAGGGAGTTTGCGGCCCCTGCCTAAGCGCCCCTGGCTAGGCAAGATCGAAATGGCGACGATAGCACTGGAGCAGCCGCAAACCAACAGCACCGCGGTCGTCAGAATGGCATCAACAACAACATGGACCGTTTGTGACTCTAAATTTCTTTGTTGAGGTCTACATACTAACCCAGCCCTGGACCTGGACGCCTCTACCTTACCCGCCCGCATTGACAAAAATTGCTAGGATACAGGTATCTCCCTACTGCCTTAAATGCCCCTTTATGCCTCGTTGTACTTTTGCTGGTGAATGGAAATGGCTCTGTTATGCGACGGGTCAGCAAACTGGCAAAAGGCTCCCCCCTCTGTATGGGGAATTTCATATGGGTGTGCGTGACTCACCTGCCACTGGGGTCCGTCTGCTTGGACCAAGTGGGGGTCCAGCGCATGACGGTGGAAGCGCAATGCGGCGGGAAGTGCTCGTCGAACATAAGACGGTACCAGTAGCTGTCAAAAGTCATCCAAGGTCAGCTTTCGTCCTTCTCTCAACATCACAGTGGTGGTGATTCTGCCGGGAACTTACGCCTCCTTGGTGTCGGGGATATCGTCGCCCCACTCGGGCTTGGGGTTCTTCATCATCTCGTCCGTGACCTGGATCTCGGCGTTGTCCTTGAGCGCGTCGATCCACCCGTATCCGACACCGTCCGAGAACTGCTCCTTCTGTCTCCAGAGTATGTTCTCCGGCAGGTACGGCTGCGCCGACGGGTCGTCCGAGGTGTCGAACGCCTTGCGCAGGATGTACTTCTCAATCTTCTCCTTGGTGATCATCTTGTCCGCGGGGTCGATGTTCATGCACGTCTCGAGGAACTGCGAGGCACAAAACTGTCAGCATACATGGTCTTTAGTCGGGAACATCTCACTATAACTCACCTGCTTGTCCAAGAACGGCACACGAGCCTCAAGACCCCAGGCGGATGTCGACTTGTTGGCACGCAGGCAGTCGGCAAGGTGCAGGTTCTTGACACGGCGGACGGTCTCCTCGTGGAAGGCCTTCCTGTCGGGGGCGGCGTGGAAGTAGAGGTAACCGCCAAAGATCTCGTCACTGCCCTCACCACTGAGCACCATCTTGATGCCCATGGCCTTGATCTTACGGGAAAGGAGGTACATCGGGGTGGAGGCGCGGATGGTCGTGACGTCGTATGTCTCGAGGTGGTAGATGACATCGGACAGAGCGTTGAGACCGTCCTCGATGGTGAAGGTCATGACGTGGTGCTTGGTGCCGAGGAACTTGGCCACCTCGAGGGCAGCCTTGTTGTCGGGGGATCCAGGCAGACCAATTGAGAAGGAGTTGAGCTGGGGCAGGTAGGTGACTGTTGACAGCTTGTTGTCGTCGTCGATACCGACCATACCATCGCCAGTCTCGGGGTTCTCGGTGGGCAGCGTGCCGCCGTTGGCGTCGAGGGCCGCCTGCTTCAAGCGGAGAGTCTCTCTTTGGGCGATAGAAGCGACCAAGCTGGAGTCCAGACCACCAGAGAGGAGCACACCGTAAGGAACCTCAGCCATCAGTCTCTTTCTGACTGACTTCTCGAGGGACTCGCGGATGGCCGTGAGGTCGACGGGGGTGTCGGGAACCTTGGCGGGGTCCCACCAGGAAGGCTCGAAATATCTTGTGGTCTTGCCGGTGGCAGAGTCGAAAACGTGACCAGGGGGGAAGGCCTCGATCTTGTCGCAGACGGAGTGCAGGCACTTCAGCTCGGAAGCAAAGTAAACGGCATCGGGCTCTTTTGAGGACCAGCCCTGGTACAGAGTGGTGATACCGATAGGGTCGCGGGCGGCGACTGTGCGGTCCTTCTTCTTGTCGTACAGAACCCACGAGAACATGCCGTCGAGGTGTTTGGGGGCGTCGATATCGTACTCCTCGTACTATGATGGTTTATTAGGCAAGGCTGTCTGCGAGGTTGTTGAAGCGTGTGCGCATGGGTGACTCACCAAGGGGATGACGACTTCACAGTCAGAGCCGGTCTTGAAGTGGTACTTGTGCTTCAGGGCCTTGCGGATCAGACGATGGTTGTAGATCTCTCCGTTGACGGCGAGGATGATGCTCTCATCGTCGTTGGTAAGGGGCTGGGCGCCGGACTCGACGCCGACGATGCTGAGACGCTCATGGCACAGGACTGCGGGATTTGGTCAATTGGGTGACTACGGACAGCTGCGATCGCGATTGACCTACTCGTCTTGTTGGCAATAACGTTACCGCCTGCATTGGGGATGTTGGTCAGTTTTATTGCGCTTCGTAGACGACTATCGCGTGGTGACTCAGAACTCACTCCAGTCGGGGCCACGGTGGCGGATACTGCACGGGAAAAAAGTCAATTGAGGCACCGGGAGTCTGGAAAGGTATCTACTCACGCCTTGGCCAGCTTCAGGGCCGTCGGCTTGAATTTTTGGACGTCGGGGTGACTGCGCGCAAATCAAGTCAGTCGCGTTCGCCTGTAAGAAAATCATGGCGGGGTCCTGGGAATTTTTTTGGAGGGGAGCTCAATTGCCCCTCCATCGCGCCGATGTAGGGACGATCGCGCATGCTGCGTGCTTGGCTGGACGTACCGATGACAGGCGAAGATTCCACACATGTTTGCGGTCTCGAGCTGCGATTGAGTATGAGGTTTGGTTGTCGAGAGAGAGATTGCAAGCTCGAAGCAAGAGAAGCGTCCCGGGAGGAATAAATACGGAGCAGAGAGGTGGGAGGCGGCCGGGCGGAGGAGTGTGGGAGCGGGAAGAACAATTATGACTCTTCTTGCGCTTCACCCAGTTTTTTTTATTTTTTATTTTCTGCTCTAATTGCTCGGTTTCCCGCAACGGCCCCAGGCCTCTTCTGATACAATGACATCCCTTGCCCCTAGCACCTTGACACTTTAACTTCCCAGCCTGCGGCCACCGGCCAGCACCCCGTTGAGCCCTGACTGACGGTACGCAAGCCGATAAGATGAGGTACTTCATTAAGCCTCCGGCCGCAGAGCGCGAGAGCGCGCTGGCTGAAGTATCGACAGAGCAATAGCCACGATACGCTAATCTCAGACGCTGCGCTAGTGTAACGCAGCTGTACCCTGGGCCGATCTCGGCTTCTGCGACAATTGCAGCGCTGGCCACTCACAGTCCGCCAGTCTGCGCATTACCTAACCTGTCCGACTGATAAGAAACTCGACCGACCAACAGGAACCGCGAGTCGGTGTGGCTCTCCGACTTGACTTAGGGAACCACATCTGTCGGATGGTGCCACGGCGACGGCAACACTTTCCAGCATGCTGCCACGCGAGCGACAGCGGACGGGGGCTCGCCGCAAGTTGGCTAGAGCGCCAATGCAGAAAGAGAACATCCGCGGCCTGACAAGAATGTATTCGCAGCAACCCAACGCGAGCGTGTCGGAAGTGTGTGTCTCTACTGTTTGGTAATGCGCCCGCTCCCATTGACTCTAACAGCCTTACTCGTCACCGCCGTCAGGGTTCCAGGTACCTTGCCAAGCAAGCTGTGGTGGAGGCATTCTCCTCCGAATCTCAACCTCCCTTACCCTCCTAGGAGTCCGGGTTTGTTAGTTCCGCTTAGCCATATCCACCATGTCGGTTGGCTGCGGTTATATGATGCACCTCCCACCACGGACCGATGGAGCGATATCCACCTTTGAAAGAGTCACCGTGTGTTTCTCCATGCTGGCTCAAATCCACGAATGGCAAAAGCACGTGAGCTCGACCTTGCGCGATGAATCGTTTTCTTCGTGGGCTCTATGGCAGACCAAATGTCTAGGCTATTCCTGTATCGACTCTCCTCATCTTTGGAATCCTCAAATCCATCGCTGCGTCATCGACCCGCCCAAAAGCAGAGAAGCAAACCGACTGGTATTTCCCAAACGCCGAAGTCGTGCTCTCGGACACGACATTGAGATCTCGTAGCTTTAATCGTCGAATCCTGAACCCCATCTAGGGCGCAGGGTTTTCCCGCACAACGCGCTTGATTCTCTTTTCGTATTCGGCCTTGTCCTTCTTGAAGAGACTGTAAGCCTCCGCCTGAGCAGGCGACTCAGGGTTGGGGTCGTCCAGCAGGTTCTGGATACCAAGCAAGATCTGCTTGACCGTGATCGCGGGCTTCCAGGCCTCCTCTTCGTTCAAAATCGACAGGCAAACGGTGCCGGAAGGGTAGACATTCGGGTGGAACAGAGGGGGAACGAATTTGCCTGTGCCGTGCTTGTCAGCTTGTCATCTCATAACACAGGGAGATGAATAGCTTACACTTGGGAGGCTTCGTGGGATACTCTATTCACAAGCATTGAGGTTAGTGAAGGCTGTTCCGACGAATGACAGGTGCGCTTGGCATCAAGTACATACCCTCGGGGAATGTGATCGTCAGCTTGAACAAGCCGCCCTCCCAAATCGTCTTCTCCTTGCCCGGGATGCCGCACTCCCACACCTTCAGGTCAAGAGTACCCTGAGCATTGCGCTGCGGCTTTGCAAAGAAGCCGAAGGGGTGGTCCTTCCGCCACTGCTTGCTGAGACACGTTAGCAGAGAGCGTGCCATGTGTGGGATGAAGATCCGTACCGCTCCTCCTGAAGTCTGTTCTGGCACAAAGACATTGTGATGGTCTTTTCGCGTCGTTGCTCGTAGCAGTTGTCTTGCTTAGCCGCGAGGATGTGTGTCGGCTCGGCTGAGTTCGTTACGACGCTTGGATCGCGTGCGTTTGGTGACAATAGCCGAGAACGTCAAGCGGGATTTCCGACGATGGGGAAACCGCTGGGTCTTGGAGGTTTGGGAGACGACAAGGCTGCGCTTGAGCTGGGCTTCGGGGCTTGTTGGGATGACTGAAGCTGAGTCTGCTGGGCAAGAAGGCGTCCACGATTAACCGTAAAGCAAGGCCGCCTCGCTTCACACGCCTCAGCGAATGCGCCAACCCACCTCAGTTGGAAGGCGGTGGAATTTTTCGGGGTCGTTCGCCGGTACGTACCTCGCGTTGCTGCCAGCGGGAAACTGCGACCTTACGGCACCTTCAGCAAATGGACGTGCCTTCCGCAGAAGCTCGGGACACCTGGAGAGGGGCGGCAGGGGGCGCGAAGCGGAAGATTACTGGACGAATAGGAAGGACCCCGCCTGAGCAGTGCACCTTGGGCCATGGCGGTCGGCGGTCCGTAGGAGGCAGCGCGGGGTGCTGGGAATTTGACGTGGGGCAAATGGAACTGCCCAGATGCAAGACAAGGAGCTTCAGGCCCGATTCCTCGGCTTTCATCTGACAGTCCGCCTTTCTGCACGTACAAAGCCATCATCCCAGCCCCCGTGCGACAGTCAAGCCTGCCTTGCTCCAGCCTTTGTGCGGTTGGTTGTGTTGCCTGCAGCAACCTCAGATCCGGGCTTTCGTTTTCGCTGCAACCTGGGTGCGCTCCGTACTACTCTTTGTCCCGACCGCATCTGTGTTCCCGGCAAGGCGGGCCTGTTTATTCAGCATCCGAGGACTCGAACATACTTGCGTTTGCCTTTCGTCGCGCATCGCATATTACCCTTTCAAACTTGCCAAGGCGCATTGCAACGATGGAAAAGGACGGTGATTCGGCCGGGACGGCCAACAAGCCCGAGGAGTTGAAGACCACTGCGCCTGCGGTCGAGGAGAAGAAGCCGGTCGACGTTATGGAGGATGTCCCGGATCCCGATGAGGACGACCTGGACGACCTAGATGGTGCGCCACGAGTCTGCGAATCTTGCGATGGATGGACGAAGTACTGACTTGGCCAGACATGCTCGACGACTTCGCGGCGGTGAACGTTGAACCCAAGAAGCCCGAACAGAAAGCTGCGCCTACTGCCGCTGGTCCTGGAAGACCTGCTGCTGTCGCAAGCGAGACGGATGACAAGACCTTGGAAGACATGCTCTCCTCTGACGACTTTGCCAAGCAGCTCCAAGCTGGCATGGCAGATTTGATCGGGGAGCTGGAGAAAAACGTATGGCAATCGACGAGCATTTCTTGACCGCGCCGACTAACATCAGTAGCCGGAAATGCAAGCACAATTCGACGACATGTTTAAGCAGATCAACGCAGCCGCACAAGAGGTTGACTCTACTCCTCAACAACCAGCGTCAGCGACGGCATCGGCATCGGCGGCGCAGCCACCCAAACCATCATCATCCTCCGCGAGTAAACCACCACCAGCAGCAGCAGCCGCCGCCGCCGCAGATCCCATCGCGGACGGCTCATTCCAGGAGACGATCAGGAAGACTATGGAGCGTATGCAGGCATCCGGTGACCAGGCCACAGCTGCTGCGGCAGAATCGTCCACCGAGGACTTCCTTGCGGAGATGATGAAGCAGCTTGGCGACGGCAACATGGATGGGGCGGGCAGCGAAGAAGAGTTCTCCAAGATGCTCATGGGCATGATGGAGCAGCTTACCAACAAAGAGATCTTGTATGAGCCTATGAAGGAGCTGAACGACAAGTTCCCTGAGTGGCTGGAGAAGAACCGCGAGAAGACCCCCGCAGAAGACCTGAAGCGTTATGAGGAGCAGCAGGCTTTGGTAAAGGAGATTGTCGCCAAGTTTGAGGAGAAGACATACGCAGATGGAAACGCGGCGGACAGAGAATACATTGTCGACCGGATGCAGAAGGTAAGCGATCTCATAGGGCCCAAGTTGGAGCCCACGCCGCTGACACAAAGTAGATGCAAGCCGCCGGATCGCCACCTTCGGACTTGGTTGGAGATATGCCATCAGCACAGGAAGCATTCAACGCAGACGAGAGTTGCAATCCGCAATAATAGGAAGCTCGCTGCGGAGATCCAGGATATACCTTTTATTTTCACCAGACTCGTTCATGATAATCGTGACTCAGTAACCGTACAAGAGCCAGTAAAATGCCAACGCCATCCGGGCAGTTGGCCCAACGCCGAAAGCAACCATTTTCCCCAAGCAATTATCTGCCTAAACCCAAACTCCACAATGCAAACCGGCCTGCTGATAATTCGGCCAACCTTTGATACCAGCTTTTCAGGATATGTCCATTTCCTGGGAAGATGCGTCCGGTACTGCGCTTTCTTGTGACACCAGGTTCATGAACAGCTCATCATAGTCTTCGTCGTCTGATATGTTGTAAGGGTCTGACTTGGCTGGTTGCTGAGCGTCTGAAGACTGGCTGTAAGACGAAAGCAACGCGTCGAGCTCATCCTGCTCTTCCTGTGCGATCGCGTCGACCATCATGTCATCGACGTCATCGGGGATCTGCTGCTTCTGGTTCTGGGACAGAGTCGCCGCGTCCTCAATGTCCGCTTCGGAGTATATCGCGTCTCCCTCAAGCTGCTTGAAATAATAGCGTTGCCGCATATCACGGTCCCAGTCTGACTTCAGAAGCTGTCGCGCATATTAGCCCCGCATATCCACCTCGGTGGCCATCGCAGAATACTCACTGTTCCCTCCATGTCCCGCCTCTGGTACGTCTTGTCGTCCTGGCGCTGCCTGACATTCTGGAGGAAGGCTTTGCGGCGGTTCTCCTGCACGTCCTCGCGTCTCCGGAGCACCGGGTTCGGCCTCGTCGGTCGCGATGCGTACTTGAACTTTGGCGCGGGGATGGGCGACGACTGGGTTTGGCGGACAGTGTTGTCGCTGATCGGAGAGAGTGGCGATGACGCGCGAATGGGTGATGAGGACAGAGGCGACGGGACGGCGGGTCTAAAGTCCCATGGCGTCCGCTCGCTGAATACTACGGGCCCCGCGACGGAAAACATGGTGCTGCTGGTGGTTTTCCTTTCTGGCGTTTTGTCTGGTTGCATGAATGGGAGCTAGTCGAGAGCAAGTCGTAAAAATGGAGGTGCTGAGCAGATTATAGAAAGTGGTGGTGTTGTTAAAGGTCCGGTGTGTCGTGTAGTAGTCCGGAAGTGGCACGGCAAGGTGGGTGAGAGCTCGCGCATTGGTTGTTGTAATTGCTTAATTGATATCCGGACGCGACTCGGACGCGGTCAGATACATAGTACCTTGTCGTCGTGGCGCACGATGCGTGTGGCTTGAGTGTTTGACACGTGAAGTCCACTTAACGAAGAACGTTCCCCCAATCGGGCAGTGTGACCTCATGCAGTTCGCCTGCGGTCCTGGCGCGCCTGGCCAGGCCTTCTCTCTCTCCCGGCGGTTCCCGAACGGACCCCGAGGCAGGGGTCTACCAAGCCGAGCGAATGAAAAAACGGCGCCGCATGGGGGAAAGATACAGGCGCCACCCTACCCCAACGACCGCCGTGGGCCGGAGACGCAATGGCAAACAGTGACAGAGGGAAATTCAGCGAAGGAGAAAAAAAAAAAGTCGCTGCGAGGTCGACTGACGACATGATTTCCGACTAGTTCTGGGACCCTCTGTTGAACAACTCAATCCCCCTTGGCTGCTCCACAATCTGTAGCGACTGTTGAGAAAGCGAACACACGACCTCGACACCGACAATTGGCCACACGGAGAAAAAAACAAAAGAAATACCAGTAAACCCACGACCAACGTAGAATGACAGTCGCCGTGGACTGCACTTGCGATTGTCACACCATTGGCGGCAGCGGGCCAGCGTCCAGATGAAAGCCTTCTCCGTTTTCTCGTCCCCGTTGCGCCGGCTCACCACTCGACAACCATGGACGTGCTCCAGCTGTCGCGCTGGCCCGTCGGCGCAGCCTAGCAGACAGTCGTTCGCCAGAGGCAACACCCGCGGGTTCTCGTCGACATCGTCAAGGACCTCGGCTGGCAGGGCGCCACCGAAGGGAGGCCAGAGGGGCAGCAGAGTGCTGCTTCTTGCTTCTGGAGGCGGTGCAGCGGGAGCGAGTGTGCTTGCGTTCGGGGACGACATCAAATACGGTTATGAGGGAGCAGAGCGTGCTGGGAGGGTTGCTTCTGCGTTGGCGGTTTGCATCAATGAGTAGGTCTGCCTTCGACGATGTTATGCCACGCAGCGTACTGATGGAAGTGCAGTTACCGAACGACTTTGAATCAGCAAGAAAAGATCGAAGACCCCGAACTACAGTCGAAAATCCTCAAGGATTGCCACCAGCGATGCGCTGATAGGACACTCAAGGTTCTGGAGAAGAATGGCGGTATCTTCATCAAGCTGGGCCAGCACCTGGTACGACCCCCTTCACATGCTAAACATTGCGATATCACTGCTAACACCGCGATAGAGTGCTATGAACTACCTACTCCCGCCTGAATGGACAAACACCTTCATCCCCCTACAAGACAAGTGCCCCGTGTCTTCGTTCGAGTCGATCGAGGAAATGTTCCGGAAGGATACTGGCAAGGAGCTATGGGACTACTTCTCGGAATTCTCGAACGAACCCATTGGCGCGGCATCTCTGGCCCAGGTACACACGGCAACTGTCAAGGAGGATGGTGTGCAGGTAGCTGTCAAAGTGCAGCACCCTGGCGTCGGCCAGTGGGCTCCCCTCGACCTCGCCCTGACACGATTCACCTTCTCGACCCTCAAGCGCTTCTTCCCCGAATACGACCTCGAATGGCTCTCCTCCGAGATGGACGTCTCCCTGCCGAAGGAGTTGGATTTCAGAGAAGAAGAGCACAACGCCAACCGCACCCGAGACCACTTTGCCAAACTCCCCGAGCACCCCCTCGTCATCCCCGAAGTTCTCTGGTCCAAAGAGCGCATCCTCGTCATGCAGCGGGTATCCGGCCATCGCCTGGACGACCTCGAGTACCTCGACGCCAACGGCATCGACCGCGACGAAGTCTCCGCCTGCCTCGCCCGCATCTTCAACGAAATGATCTTCGGCCACAACGCGCCCCTGCACTGCGACCCCCACGGCGGCAACCTCGCCATCCGCAAGAACGAGTCCCGGCGCGGCCTCCGCGGCGGCCACAACTTCGACATCATCCTCTACGACCACGGCCTCTACCGCGACATCCCCCGCGACCTGCAGCGCTCCTACGCCAAGATGTGGCTCGCCGTCATCGACGGCGACATGAAGCGCATGCGCAAGTACGCCAAGGAGGTCGCCAACATCAACGACGAGCAGTTCCCGCTCTTCGCCTCCGCCATCACCGGCCGTGACTGGAGCGTGCTCAACAGCGAGGGCTCCGTCCTGCAGACGCGCACCGCCGACGAGAAGAAGGAGATGGGAGACGCGCTGCAGGAGGGCCTGCTCGCCGACCTCGTCCAGCTGCTCGGCCAGGTGCCCCGCATCATCCTGCTCATCCTCAAGACCAACGACCTCACCCGCAGCCTCGACGAGAACCTGCACACCCGCCAGGGCCCCATTCGCTCCTTCATGATCCTCGCGCGGTACTGCACGCGCACCGTGTTCGAGGAGCAGCTGGAGGACCTGCGGGCGCGCGGGTCCTTGCTGTGGCCGCCGAACGCGTTCCGGTTGGTGTCCGCGTGGGTTGGGTTCCTGAGGGTCGAGTTCAAGCTGGGTGCGTTTGAGCTGTGGTTGAGCTTGAAGAGGGTGTTTGGGCTCAAGGGCGCGGAGTTTTCGGCCCCTGGTATGTGATGATGATGCATTTTGATAAGCGGGTATAGACGTATAGACTTGTAATTTACGCTGTGTTCATACTTGTATTCTGCGCGGTGCTTGACTCTACTGGTGGCTTATCATGGTGCCTGGCGTTATGTGAAAAGCTTCGTTACACGGGCGAAGAGCATTGGCCCAGCGGACGGGAATGGACTAATACTGGTGTCCTCCCTATCGTCGTCCGCATCACCTTCCTTGTCGTTCTCAGGGAGTCGGTAAACTAAACGGATAAAGCACCCGCCCAGATTGATATGAAACACTGTCTATTTGCTTCCAGCTTAACAACTTGGCAATATGTCTGTTGCCTATAATCTAAGAGCCTGCTTGCTATCCCTCTTTAAGAATTGATATAATTGTGTCAAAACGTTCGACAGTAAGCGTGTAGGGCTTCTTCATATAATCGAACCACAGACACGACTCGAGCTCTTCACCTTCAACTATTTTCTGTCGCATGTCAAAGGCCTTCTGGAGCACCGTTTTTCCCTCGTTATCCTTGACCTGCTTGTCTGCTCCATTCTCGAGAAGCAATCTTAGAGATCTTATGTCCCCATTCATGACAGCCAAATGTGAAAGTGTGCTACCATCTAGTGTCTTTTCCTCCACACAAGACCCATCTTCGATGAATTGCTTTGCAATGTCTGTGTGCCTGTGTCTGATCGCAATACTTAGTCGACTTGGCTGAGTGCTCTCTGACACGTCAGTGTTGGCTCCCGCATCTTTGAGCATTCTTGCAATGCGTCCACGCCCAAACAAAGCAGCGTAGTGTAGTGGTGTAAGTTGATATCCTTTACCCAATGGCGGCGTGCCTCGAGCCTCAATATTAGACCCTAGCCTAAGAAGCAGGTGGACAATTCCATCCTTCCCCCACTCAATAGCTTTATGTAGTGGCGTTTCATCCTTTTTGGATTTGGCCTCTATGTCTGCGCCCTCCTGGATTAGACATGCCATAGTCTCTGGATTGCCAAAAGCAGCTGCTCTGTGCAGTAGAGTTTCACCACGGTCATCTCTTAAATCCTTTTCTGCACCTTGATGGATGAGGAGCGCCACGACCGCCGCTTGGCCCTTCATAGCTGCTAGGTCTAGTGCTGTCGAGGTGAGCCCCAATTTAGCTTCTATGTTTGCCCCTTTCTTAAGGAGCATTTCTGCAGCTTTCACATATCCTTCTTCAGCTGCACAATGCAGTGGTGTTAGACCCCTCTCGCCCCTGGCGTCAACTTTTGCGCCCTCGTCAATGAGCAGCGCTATCAACTGCTCGTGTCCTCTCGCAGCTGCACAATGCAGCGGTCTCGATCCATATGAGTCTTTAGCTTCCTTATCGGCTTTCTGCTCAATAAGGAGGGCCGCAACCTCCTCATGTCCATTTCTAGCCGCCCAGTGAAGGGGCCTGCGCATGTCGAGGTCTCGAGCTTCCTTCTCAGCACCCTGATCCACGACAAGCCACCTAACCATGGGCGTTTGCCCGGACAAGGCTGCAAGGTGTAAAGCTGTTCTGCCATTGTTGTCTCGTTGTCTTTTGTTCGCCACCTCCCAGAGGTTTTTAGCGATATCCAACCATCCCTTATATGCGGCCCATAGTAATGGTGTGGTTCCTGAGGCATCTGGGATGTCTACATTGGCTCCTGCCTCGATTAAGACAGTCACGGCTCTACTGTTTCCCTCCACGGATGCGCAGTGTAGTGGTGTCATGCCATCTCTGCCCTGCGCATTGATATCCGCACCTTCCTGGATGAATAGGCGAATGGTTTTCTCTCTCTCGTTGTCTGGGGGTTCCATAGCACCGAGAAAACTACAAGCGTGGTGTAAAGGTGTCCAATCGAGTAGGTCGCGGGAGTTGACACCACCAAACTCCTGTGCCTCCTGCACAACTCTCCACTTGATTCCCCATCGAAGGCCAGTCCTGGCAAGTTCATGGAAAGGCGACCAATGATGGATGTATTTCGCGTCCAGTCTGTCTCTGTTCGAAATCTCGACTTCATCGGCGGATTTGCGTTGAAGTTCGGATGTTTTCTGCAGGTTTATGAAGCTGAATGCCGTTGGATGCCTGCTGTTTCCTTCTGAACGGGCGTCGCTAAGTGCCACATCTCTGCAAGAGCGATCTTCAGTCTCCTGTTCGCAGGCCTCAGGGCGTCTCTCAAGATAGCCCCGTTCTTCGTATAACTCCATGAGACTGAACATGATATCATGATCGGCATACTTGTTCAGTTCTTCCGCAACTTCCCTCTTTGCTTGCTCGAGACTCCGGTGTTCAAGCGACCAATCTTTTCCTTTCCTTAAATCGATGGTTGAGGAGACTTGTCTTAGATATTCAACTACCACAGCTGTGGCCTTGGTGACTATCCCTTGTCTACCGAATGTATTTGCTGTTTGGAAAAGCCATAGATATATCTGTGTAGCTTCGTCCCAATGCTGCAGTAGCTCATGTTGTCTAGCTTGCTCTCTTGCTAATCTGATGATTGCATCATCAGCTCGGGGGAGCTTCTGATTTTGGCTAAGCGGCGGTACAACGCTCAGATAGATGTCCTCCAGGGTTCCGAGGCCAGTGCTCTCGATTTCCCGAATCATTGTAGACAAAGCTGCGTTCTGGAGTGTGAAGGATCTCCAATTAATACTAGTGCCAGTGGTGTTGGGCTGTACATCGGCAACGCTCTGGAAAAGTTCTTTTGGTCCGTCCCAGCTTGCAACGGCATGCATGAATGCCGAGAAAATGTGCTGGGCAAACAGCAATGGCAAGGAAGCGTACGACTCTGCTGCAAGAATGGTTCCGCTTTCACAGACATATCCGCCGTGATCTTCAGTTTCGTCGAGCAGGCTTTTGCGACTGAATAGGCTCGAATTTTGAGGACTCTCGGCCTCGCCACTCGTGCCTGGCTTGTAAGTCTGAATCCACTTTTGCCGACCATAGCCAATGGTTCTGTGGGTTTCCATTTCTAGTACGCTTTCTGCATCGCTGACTCCATCTGGACGCTCTTGAAGCTGCCGAAGTTCAAAGATTCGAAATAAGTCTTTCGGCAGCCACCATTGCAGATCTTGATGAAGAGCTGGGGTGTGGAATCCTAAAAGCCGCAAGCTTTGCTTCCCTTTCGACTCCTCCATACGTAATCGCACATCGTCTCTCTTGTTGATGGGATTCTCAGTGACTCCGTTGTATCTCGGAAGTCCGGCTGCTGTTTTCTTCTCGTCATTGATTTCCCTCTCATCCTTGACTTTCTTCTCGTCCTTGACGGAGGAAAGCCATAATGAAAGCGCTGCTTCGTATTCATTCGCGTACGCTTTCCATTTTCCATTGGCTTGTCGGTATAGTTGAAAGTTGATTGAATGGCAATCCGATCCACCATAATTGGCTTCAAGGGACCAAAAGAACATCTCGCCGGAAGCGGGGTCGATGGTTGCAGACGCTTTCGAAGTAGACTTCTTGGAAGTAGAGGTCATGGGAGAGAGCCCAACCAAGGTATCCATCGCGATCTCAATTGCCCTAGCAAGGCAAACGGCCTCAGCAGAGGCAGGACCGCGCCATTCTGATAAATGACCAAGATTCTTCCGGATGTTCAAGACCTCCTCAGCGCTCAGGGCAGAGCTCCCTGGAATGCAAGATCCCGTGGTTTCAGCACCCCCTTGGCAAAGCGTCTTATTGGGGGTCATGTCCTGTTTTCCGCTTGGGCTTCCACTCGAAGCGAGCTGTCTGTCTCGGCCTAAATATACGCCTCCACTACTCGCGATTTTCCACTCGCCAACGCACCCGTTGGCCCCTAAGCTCTCCGAAGCATCTTCTGCACTCGATGAAGCGCCGAAGCTCGGCCCATATTTAGCATTGCCATTCCAAGGTGCTTGATCAGCCTTGCCTAATGTCTTTGCAAACCAATCAAGCTCGTATCCGGATGGCAAAGATTTGGCTTCTGGCGGTGTCACGAGTCCACGACGGACCCATGCTTTAAGACAAACCATTAGGAAGACTGCACCGAGTTGAGCAATCGAGGCTGACCAGTGCAGCCCTCGTAAACCAACGAACTGCAAGATGAATCCCGTCATGGTAGTCATTGTCCCAAGAACCGTCTCAACTTCGAGTGCGGTCGAGCCATTTGGCGCCGATTGCTTCCCCCCTTGTGATGTGGATCGAGACTGCCCAACACTTTTATGCCTGGGCCGCCTAGATGTCGTGATAAAGGGTTGATCATTCTTTGCATATATAGCAAATGATCCGAAAACCTGGTCGCTGACAGTCTTGTTTTGTTGTAGCCAAACCATCCGGACCCTCACGTTTTGCTCCCGTGGGTGAAATCGCTCCTCCTCTGTGCTGCTTTCCACGACATGGGCACAAATCATCATTCCAAACACCAAAACAAGTGTTCCTGTTGCAGCGCAAGGGTATGCATAGCTCGCGATAGGACTGCCATCTTTCTGGAACTTTAGAGTCGGGTAGTACGTGGCGAAACCGGAATATAAAAGGACGCCGAGTTGCAAAATCGTTCCGAAGAACGCCACAACGCGCAATTCCCCTCTCCCAGTTTCACGATGAGTATTGAGGGAAATATTTGGTGCGTCGCGAGATGAGTTGCGTTTAATGATGATAGTTTGGGGCGCTGGGTTGCCCTCGGAGTCTTTCTGACAGGTCGGCTGTGGAGGCTTTTGCGAATCTCTCCATCGACGAACGTCGTCCTTGATATTCAAGTCTAGGAAGAAACCATCAATAATTTGAACATGGATGAGACAGGAGAGCTTCTCACCGATTTTGACGAGATGACGATCCTTGTCATTCAACTTCTCTACTTTATCGTCCACCTCTATGTTAAATGCCTTGTTTCCAGACTGCGTGTCGACGGGCAACAGACAGATAAACTCAACAACCGAAGGGGATCCCATGCATCTCACAATCTCTTGACCGTTCCAAAGCTCGCAGACCTCCTGTGAGGTTGACGACATAAGCTCAGCCTCGGCTACGGCGAGATTCTCACGAGCTCGCCCGATCACCGCCTTAAGCCAAGAAGGGCCTCCAACTCGAATTGCTCCCACAATAGCGGTGATAATACCAAGAGGAGCCATCGCAAGAATGATGTTATCGGCCCAGCCCATAGCTCCACTCATAAATTGCATGGTTACTCGTTCTCCAAAAAGCGCCAGTAGCCTGACGACGGAGTAATATTGAGTACGGCATCCCAAAAGAATATTTCAGCAAACTTACGGTCCGAGGTCTGAGAAGAGATTGTTGGCAAAGTCATCTCCTCCATCTGCAAATACGGATCTTGCCCGCAGCAAGATGAAAAGGAGTAGCAGCCTCCTGTTGACAGACATGCTGTCTCGGCAATCGGGGTATCTGAGAGAAGCGTGCGGAGGTGAAAGGTCGCTTATGTTGATGGATGTTGGTTTCTGAAGAGAACTTTCTTCGTGATGATCGGACAAGAATGCAATGAACAGCTGTAAGCAGGGCAATTGTCGAGTGGGAGAAGAGAGCAGACGCGGCTGAGAATTGAGAAGCGGGACATCTGCGGTAATTTCTTCAGACATCAGGCTGTCGTTTTCGGCAAGACCCCTCACCCAGCGAATACTCGAATTAAGCGCCGCAACCCATTGCTCGTTAAGCCATGCACATGCATGGTTATGTTGGTCCTCATTGCGGCCTCAATACACCGCTCGCGCCGTATCTAACCCTATCATGACCCTTGAACATATCCACTCATCGGCTACGGTACCACTATTGGTTCGCTGCTGACACATTCGCCAGAATTCAACCTAATCAAAGACCTGTGCCTGTTATGTGGATGTTATGCGCAGTTGCTTGTACGACCTAAGATGCGCTGCTATGTCACGATTGTGTACCGTTAAATAAAACGGTGCTTGATTCGGGTTCTAGTGAGAATGGCAGATGTGGTACTGCAACGCATGACGGCCTGCCGGGCTATACTGACCGGAATATCTTGCAGCTCTCAGCCTCTATCACTTTTCCTGTGAGTCTATGAGAGCCTACATTTCTGTTTCTAAGTCATGTTTGAAGATCTCTTAGTGACAGAAGACCGACGCCTTGGAAAGGATCTCCTGTAAGTCTGCGTGCAGCACGATCCCTCGGAACAACAGGAGCACCTCCTGTGTTCAACGAGTTTCCAGTCCATCGATACAAAGCTTCCAATTGTCCAAATTGTTTTACGACGATTTGACAGTTGTATGTAAGACAGCTAGCAATCATGTTGGCGAGGAGACCGCCTGCCTTCAGCTTCTGCTCTGATTTTGTGGCACATAAAAGATGTCGTAGGTCCATTCAGGCTCCTGTTTCTCTTTCAAACAGGTATAAAGGCGAATTTTCATGGGAATTGCTCATGAGGAAATAAAATCGTAGAAGTGAAAAGTGACAAATTTCTTTTCTACTGCCGTCCTCCTTCTAACACTTTCAACCAAGTGGTGCAAGCAAGATAACATACAACCACACATCCAATATACTAGATACCGTGGACTCTGGAGCTAGCGTTCAGCGAAATTCCCGGAGTGCAGCCCTCCTACATACTCTCACGCCTGCCTTTACGCCTGCCCCCTACCCTCTCGGAATAACCTCACACTATGTAGCGCCACTTAGCCGACCAATCTACGAAGGGCCTCAAAGGGGTGACCAATTAGCCAAGAGATCCCTCATATTAATCTCGCGTCCGACCTTTGCTGGGATTCACAATTGTAACTCCCTCGCTTCGCCCAGTAGCTACGCTCCGGGTGAGCCTTTTGAAAACTCAACCAAAATTCAACATGGAACCTCAAGCTCCGCAATAGCTGCCGACCTCGAATTCAGTTGTCGTATTTGACATGGTAAGTGTCACTCCAAGAATCTTTGTTGTCATCCCAGTAGGTTTTCAAATCCTGTGAGTTCACTTTGAGACAAGAACACACCGGCAGACCCAGGAAAGGAATTACGAACCTCGAATGCCATGGGGAAGCCACTGATGGGTACGGAACGATTGACGCCAAAGTTGACCTCAATGCTAATTGGGATGTGGTCAAATTGTTGGTTGAATTCGATTTCAAGCCTGAAATACCGGTTGCCTGCTTGATTCTTTTCTTTCCGATCTCCCTTGACTTCGAAGTAATGAGTGCGATCCAAGATGCGACTCAATGCTGGCTCATGGGGCTGGAACTGACATCCGATCCAACCCTTGATTGCATAAATGTCATTGCGCTGAAACTCGTCGATGGAAGTCAGCTGGAAGAAAAACATGCTAGAACATATCTTATCAGCCAGGAACAATAGAAGGTCTGGCTTATAAACCGGGCTCGCAGGCTCCCGAGTGAACCACGTTTTCCCCATTTCTGCTTGGAACTTAGCGTTGCCGGCTGTCGTTTCCATACGGCCAACTTGGTCAGTGGCATCAAGAGCTGGTTCCTTGCCGTCCCTAAACTCAACATTGAGGCGGAAGGACTTCTCCTTGATTTTGAGCGTTTGGCTGTCAATGTATTCTTCCCATGCTTTCTGCCCGTTCATAGAACTAATGAAGACGGCCACTAAGGGCTTAAGCCAATGAGGAGAACGTGGTGTTGTTCCAGCGGTTGGTACGTCTGCTGGACTGGCTGCGTCGCCAGATCCGACAGACAGAATCAGGTCATAGTGCGCTTCGCTACCCCACAACTTCCTGCACTCGTTGATGGCAAGTTGAACAGGATTGTTAAACCGAAGGCCTCCATCATGACAATCAAGCCCATGATTCGATATCGGCTTGAAATACATAGGAGCAGCAGATGTGCATCTCGCTCTATCAAAGATATCGTCAGCCATAGGCTCACAGCCCCAAAGGTGTGGAAGATCATGGAGAATCGCCTGACATATCCATGCTTGACACGTGAAAGCATCAGAGAGAATGAACAAAACTCACGCTTTCCACAGTGGCAGTCCAGATCTCATGTACTTGTCCGAATCTCCAAGGTTGTAGTTTGCTATGAGCATGGTCTCGCTGTCCACCGTTGTCGTTACTGCCACCCTGGTTGAATTCGTACGCCCGAAGACTTGGTTGGGCTGTGGACCAAACGCAGAACGAACTGTAGCCTCGAATTGAGAAGTTTTGTAGATAGATCTCCTCAGCAAGCGCGCCATATAACCCAATGCAGGAGTAGTTGTGAGAGGCTTGGCATGGAATCCGTCGTCGCATATCTTTCGGAAAATCTTTATGCACTCTGATGCAGACCGCTGCTGTATTCCAAGACCTAGAGAAATCATGCCGCCTTGACACATGTTAGTCAATAACGTCTGTCTGAATCAATGCAGAGTTTCTGGTAGTGTATCTCAAGCTCAAAATCATTTACTCACCAGCACTAGTGCCGACCATGAGATCGAAAAAGCGACCGAGTGGAACACCGAGGTCAACGAGATCCTCCAAACGCTTGAGAAGGGTAAGCTCGACAATCCCATGGACGCCGCCTCCATCAAGTGAGAGAATTCGCAAGCCTGAAAGGGGAGGTCGTGTTTGGATACTGAATGGCCACTTATTCCC